CCTGCAAACACTGACTGCCCATAAAGGCCGGATTTTGTGCTTCCCATGGGATTTTTAGCTGGGGAATTTTAATTCCTATGCCACCCCCTCTCTCTGGGTGTCCTAATCCTGGCTCTGTGTCCCCAAGGGGGTGGCTCGGGGTGGGTGACAGGCCCAGGTGTCCCCCAGCCACGGCTGTGCCAGGCCGAGGAGGGAAGGAGCTGCCTTGGGAAGCCTCTCCTGGAAAAGGGAAAGGGACAAGAAGGGGACAGGTCCGAGTCTGAGTGGGACAGGAGCTTCAGAGCGGGACGGGAGCTCTGCTCTCCCAGTGGGAGCCGGGGGAAGGAGCTGGAGCAGCCACAGGAACAAACCGAGCCCGGCGGGAGCAGGGCTGAGCATCCCGGGATGAGCTCCGTGCCGGGGACGTGGAGAGGGATTCAGGGATCGTGGAGGAATCACGGCGGGAATCATGGGGGGATCGGGGCGGGAATCACGGGGGGATTCCTGAAGGGATTCATGGAGAGATTAATGGAGGGAAACATGGAGGGATTCATGGAGGGCATTCCTGGGGGAATTCATGGAAGGATTCATAACAGGATTCATGGAGGGATCAAGGCGGGATTCCTGGAGGGATTCATGGAAGGATTCACAAGGGGATTCACGGCAGGATCCATGGAGGGACCACGGCAGAATTCCTGGAGGAATGCATGGGGGGATTCACGGAGAGATTCACAGCGGGATTCATGGGGGGATTAATGGAGGGGATTCATGAAGGGATCACGGCAGGATCCATGGGGGGACCACAGTGGGAATCATGGGGGGAATCAAGGCGGGATTCACAGAGGGATTCACGGGGGGATTCATGGAGGGATTCAAGGCGGGATTCATGGAGGGATTCACGGTGGGATCCCGGCTCTCCTGCAGACGCGCAGCAGCGGCAGAGAGCAGCGGGTGCCGCCGATCGCCGCACGCAGCGCCGCAGCCAGCCTGGAGGGACGAATCCTGCAGCAAACGCCAGCCCCGGCTCCCTCCGCTCCCGGCCCTCCCCGCACCCCTCGGTGGCCACCGGCAGCATCCCCGCCGCCCTCCCCGCACTCGGGGATTAACGGAGCGGCTCCCGCCGCCATCTGGAGCCGGGGGCCGGCCCCCCTGCCCCCGAGGGACCGCGGGCCATGGCAGGGCCAGGTGCTGCGGATCCCGGAGGTGACAGAATGACCGGACCCACCCCCCCCCCCGGCCCGTGGTCAGCAGCACCTTGGGGAGGGGGGTGAGGGGGGAGAGGCCGGTCCGGCCCCTTCCGCTGGGGTTTAATAGACTCGTGGCGTATGAACATCCCCATCATGTGATGAATCAGAGGCTGCTTCCCCCCGAGCGGCGCAACAAAGCTGCGATTGAGGGCTCGGGGCAGCGGCTGCGGCTCGCGCGTCTCCGGCACCGCCAGACACCCCCCGGTGCAGGGGAGGGGGGCCCCGAGCGGCGGAGCTGCCCTTCCTCCAGGCCCAGGAGGAGGAGGAGGAGGAGGAGGAGGAGGAGGAGGATGGCTCGCTCTGCGTTCGCAGCAGGCAGCGAAAGGAGCCGCGGAGCCAAGGGAAGGTCTCGGCTTCCCTGGGAAGCGCCAGACGACATCTCAGCCTCATCCATCACATCCCGTCCCCAGCGCAGCGCGGGGGGCCAGGGGAAGGGTCCGGCCCTTCCGAGCCCCTCCCCTCACCAGGATGGGGTTTGGGGGTGCTGAGACAGCGAATAGCGGGGCTCCCCCAAAGCCTCGGCGCTGCTCTGCCCCTGCACGCAGTGGGGGCCAAGCCCGGGGGATCCAAACCCGGAGGGTCCCAGCCCGCAGCGTTTGGGGTTCTGGGGACACAAACCGAGCTCGCAGCCCATAAACACACGGCGGGGACAGCTCGGGGGGGCCCCCTAAAAGCTCGGCACGAGGGGCAGGGGGTGCAGGGGCAGCCGGGGGGTGCCAGACCCCAGAGCGCGCCCCGCTCTGCCCATGGGGCCGGAGCGCAGCCCCCCCTTCTTCCTTAAAAGAGCCCCCCCAGCACCATGAGGGGATGCGCTGCCGCTCGGCTCCCGCGAGGAGGAGGAGGAGGAGGGGGAAGAGAGGAGGAAGAGGAGGAGGAGGAGGAAGGGAGCCGCGCCGGAGGCACTCACCGTGCGGGGCGGGCAGCGGCCGGTCCCCCCCCCGCTGCCTACGGGAGCAGCATCTCCCCGGCCGTCCCCAGCCCCAGCCCGAGCCGGAGCGGGAGCCGGAGCCGCAGCCGGAGCTGGGCATGCTCGGGGGCCACCGAGCGGCACGTGACGCCGGGCTGGCACCGAGCAGGGCGGGGGGGCCCGCACCGCCCCCACCGCCCCCCAACCTCCGCAGCCCCCGGGGGGACCGCGCCGACCCCTCCGTGTGCGGCACCGAGGGCGGCCGCGACCCCGCGAGGGGCTGGAGAGCGCTGCCCACCCCGAGGGGATCGCGCTGATCCCGCACCCCGGAGCCCTGGGGACAGCCTGGACCCCGCATTCCAGCTGGGGGGGATCGAAATTCCCGTGTCGGGGGACAGAGGGGACCCTGCTCGCTTTCCCCCATCCCAGTTTCCCGGATCCTGCATCCCAGCACTGGGATGGGGCACGGAGAGGTCCCTGCATCCTTCCTGGATCGGGGGACAGCCAGGACATCCCTGCGCATCCCTGGGACCCCGCATCCCTCGGGATCCTGCACCTGGCGGGGCAGGGGAGCCCCTGTGGTGCCAGGTGGGTGTGGAACCCTCTGGAGTGGGGCGGGCTCTGCACCCCCAGGCTCTGGGGAGAGAGGATGGGCAGCGGGACAGCCCCCAGCAGCTCACCTGGTGCCCAGCATGGCTCAGGTGGGGTTGGCAGGACCCTGCTCGGGCCCCTGGCACGGCCTGGTGGCTCCCAGAGCTGGGCACGGAGGTGCTGGCCCTGCAGATTGCTGCCCTACAGCGATGGCGCCGTGCCCCGATCCCTGGCACTGCCCTCATTCTGCCTGTCACAGCTGCCAGGCTGTGGTGACACCCTGGTGGCACTGCCAGGCCCGTGGTGACACCCTGGTGGCACCTGCCAGGCTGTGGTGACACCCTGGTGGCACCTGCCAGGCCCAGCTCGGGCTCGCACCCCACAGGGACCTTCCCTGCTGGGCCTGGGGACAACCGGGGGCTCTCCAGGAAAGGGAAAACCGCCCTTGATCCCATAATCCCCCCATGAGCCATGGGGAATTAGGGGCTGGGCAGGGGGGGTGGCTTTCACCGGATCCGCTGCCTCCTGTGTCCCCACAGGGCGGGGGGACAGCGTCCCTCCCTGCCAGCCCACAGCAGGACCCCAAAACTGCAGCTGTCCCCTCCCCAAGGCCACTGTCCCCAGGCAGAGGGGGCCCACAGGGGTTGCTCCATCTCCCCCTGTCCTCCTGCTTCCCAGGAGCGCCCCAAAAACAGCCCAGGAAGCCCAAGAGAAACCGGGGGAGCCCCCCCAGCCGAACCAGGCAGGCTGAGCACCCCCAGTTTGGTGTCCAGTTATTCCCTGACCCCTTAAGGGCACATCAGGAGCTGCTGGAGCAGCCCCCACCCCAAAACCACGGACACTGCAGGATTTCCTCCTGCAGGCAGAGCTGGGGCAGGATGGGGATGGGAAAACCCCATGGGAGCAGGGGATAGGGACTGGGTGCTGCCCACCCACACTCGGGGCCACCCTGGGGGGACAACGGCCACCACTGTGTCCCCTGCGCCCCAGGTGGGGCTGGCAGGACCCTTCTCCAGCCCTGGCCTGGTGGCCACCACCTTCCAAGCCCATTCCCTGCCCTGCTGTGACATTCCCAGGTGCCCAGGAAAGGTGGTTCCTGCCCCAGAGGAGCACGGCACAGCTCCAGCCTGGTCTGGATGGTCCCGGAGCAGCCCCAGCCCCATTCCCTGCTCCCTGCTGTGACATTCCCGGGTCCTGGGGCACGCAGGGAAGGTGATTCCTGCTCCAGAGGAGGCACAACAAAATTCCAGAGCTCCAAACCCAGTGAGAGGCTCCCAGGGCAGTTCCAATCTCGCTCTCTGCTCCACTGTGACATTCCCAGGTCCTGGGGCACACATGGAGGGTCCCTCGGGGTCACAACTCCAACCCCACCCGGAGCAGCCCCAATCCCACTCCCTGCTCTGCTGTGACATTCCCACATCCTGCGACACTCAGAGAAGGTGGTTCCTGAGATCAGAACTCCAACCCCACCCGGAGCAGCCCCAATCCCATTCCCTGCTCCATTGTCACATTCCCAGGTGCTGGGACACACAGAGGAGACGGCTCCTGGGGTCACAACTCCAACCCCACCCCGAGCAGCCCCATCCCCAGTCCCGGCCCCGTCTGGGGCTGCCTGAAGGACACCTCGTCTGCACTGCCCGGATTAGATCGGCTTTGCTCCAGCCCGCCGGGGGATCTTTGCTCTCGCCGGGGTTTTATGGCTGTCTGGGCACACAGGGAAAGCTCCGGGTGCCAGATAGGGACGGGCTCAAAGATCCCGTCTGGAACAGCCTCACCCGGCAGCACCCGGAGCCCCACGCGAGGCGAGGCACAGCCTGCAGCTCTCAGCCTGTCTAGACACCAAAATCGCCTCGCCACGGCCCCAGTCCCAGCACTGGAGGCAAGGAAGGGGAGAGAGGGAAATGGGGAACAACGCACTGGGATGAGAACCGGGAGCGGCGCCTCGGGCTGGAGCCTCCCCGAGCCGCGCTCCTGCTGCTCCAGGGACCCTCGGAGCCACCGGGCTCCTCGCCACAACCTCCGGGAGCTCGGCAGGAATTCCCCGCTGGGCTCCGGGGGATGTTTCCCTGCGGGATGACGCGGGACAGGAGGTGGCCGGATACGCCCACCCCACCCCGGAGCTCCGAGAATTTTTTTTTTTTTTTTTTTTTTTTTGCATCTGTGATGGGCGTTTGGAGCAAGAGCTGCAGGTGCAGAGCCCAGAGCTGGGGCTGGTCCTTCCCCATCCCATCCCGGGATGCAAAAACTTCTCCCCCTCCCGGTCCCTTCCCACTTACTTGATGAAGTAGAGGCCGCCGTGCATGGTGGTGTCCACCTCCCAGCCTCGGGGCAGCCCTGCGGGGACAGCCCAGCAGCGGGGTCACCCTCCCTGTCCCCCCTCAGCACCCCTGGACAAGGGCAGGGATTGAGGGGTGACCGCCACACTTTGTGCTTGACTCTCACAACGCTCAAAGCGCATTTTTTGGGGGGGGGCAGAAGTTTGAGGCCCCTCCTCATCAGGGACCACAGGAGGGAAGGGAAAACTCCCCAGGAATTTCTCCAGCTGGAAAACCCACGCTGGGAAGAGACTGAATCACCTCGTAGAACCCCCCCAGCCCTCCCCAGCTGCAGACAGACCCCCCCGGCTCAATTTTGGGGGGGGTCTCCTTTGCATTCCCGGAGGATTTCGCTCCACATTTCCCAATCCTGCCCCCCCAGGAGCGGGGTCCCAGCCTCACCTGCGCAGGAGAAGTGCCCGCTCTGGATGGAGTAGCCCGTGCCGGGGTGCACCCAGCTGGTGGATTTGGTGTCGTCGCTGTGAGGGGACAAGGACAGAGGGGCTGTCAGCACCCCCGGGGGGCTCAGAGACCCCTCCCCACCTCCGGGCAAGGCTCTTGGCACCACGGGGAATTCTCCAGCCAAACGAGAGGATTTTTAGGGAAGAAGGGAGGTGGCCGCAAGAAGGGAGAAAAGCGAGGGCAGCAGAGGTGGGACAGCAGGAGCGACCCCGTTTCCAGCCCAAACGAGCCCCCCGCCTTTCGCAGCCCCCCCAAGCACCCGCCCCGCTCCCCAGCCCGCGCCGTACTCGATGAAGAAGATTCTGCCGTCCCCACAGACGCCGTAGGTCCACCTGCCCGGCAGGTCCAGCCACTCGATGTCATCCCCCATGGGGGTGGCACGGGGGGCTCCTCGGGCACGGAGCAGCCCCGCGCTGCCAGCCAGGACCAAAACCCGACTCGGGAAGTGCCCAGCGCGGAATCCCGCTCTGTGCCCGGGAGCAAAGGCTCAGCTCAGCCCTTCCACCCCGGCTCTGCTCGCTGCGAATAACCCGGGAGGGAGGGAAAAGAAAAAAAAAAAAAAAAAAAAAAAAAAAAAAAATTCCCGACCAAACCCATGGA